CCGTCGCATCGTCCAGGTGGGGCTGCACACTGGTGGTGGTGGAGGGGAGTCCCCATTACCTGTAAAGTGCTTTGAGTGGAGTGTCCAGAAAAGCGCTATATAAATGTAAGCAATTATTATTATTATACAAGCAGATTTGGACATGCATGAAGTCTGCCACATTTCCTTTCAATCAGTGCACCTGTTGCCAAGATGGAGGCAGTATGATTTTAGGACATACAGTACAGTAATGGGCGTCAACTGTTTGCTCAATACAATAATACCTCCTATTTTTTTTTGTCTACGGCATATTTTCTGGTGTTTTTGAATACTACTATGCCTAAGATGATACAGTTCTTACAAAACCAGCAGACAGATGACAGTGTAAAATTTTAGAACAAAGTGGCAAAGAGTAACTTAACCTATTTTAATTGTATTCTTACAGTGTTCATACCTGACATATTTTACCGTTAGCTGGCTGATCTATTTTTGAATATGAGCAGTCTGTGGCAAAGGCCATAAGATTCTATTGACCTGTGTAATTACCATGACAAAATGAGAAGTCCTTCTGCAACTGATTTGGAAGCTGCTGAGATCACCCATATTCAATTCCATTTGTTAGAAAAATTTAGGAAGAATATTTAGAAAGAGAATCATCTAGGGTAACATTTTTTGTCACATACTGTATCAACTATATGTTTTACTCACTATACTGTCCCTGGTATGCTGAAAGTAGATCAGCTACATGGTATTCTACAGGGAAAACTTGAAATTTGGGATAGAAAAGAAAAATCATTACAATGACTTGAGGCGTCCATGCTTAGTTGGAAGCCTAATAAATATTGAGACACCCTCCACATATTAATATTTCAACACTGCAATAAATGGATATAGTCTGTTTGACAAGGGATCCTAATATAAACACCTTGATAGAGAGTGAATGAATGAAGTGCAATATATCTTACATTGCCTTTTGCATTTAAATGGGTTATTATTCAGTTGCGCAGGTATTTTTTACTGAAAAAAAACCCAATTAATTAAGTCAATATCAGAATGAAGTAAGAAATTTGGAATTAAATACAGAACTAAGCTAAAAATATATACACATGTAAATATGTCAGGACTAATGGCATTTATTTTATTGGCACCCTTTAAGCTCTCTTTTCAATTACATTTCTATGCATGCAAATTGGTTTGGATCTCCCTAAAAAAGTAAGTTGTAATGCATAAAAAATAACCCAGGCTTTTCAATTATATGTGAAATATTTAAATCGAAAACAGTTATGTGTTGTTTATTAAAATTTGTCATGAGCAGTAATGCAAAAAGCCCTCTGGTGTTTGCCTGTAACTCAAGTCCAAATGGGAGATTCCTTAATCTTTTCACTCAGCTGTCCTTTCCAAGCTCTTTTACATGGTCCGTGTCTCAAAATAAGTCATAAACTTGCAGCTGCTGCTATGGAAACAGCTGATTTGCAGTTATTTTGAAGCTACTCCCTAGATCCTGAGGCATAAAAATTTTTGCCCTTTTCCGGGAGATGGGCTGCTTCTTAAAGTATATTTTACAAGCAGTGGAACAGGCCTTTATTTTTCATTTCTCCAGCAGTGTGTTCAGTGTGCTGTGTGTCGGTAGGCCTGAGATGAATAAGGAAGAAAACATGCTTCATTCTTTTTTCCAAACAGTTTGTTGGATCATAATATCTAACCATATTTTTGTTAAAAAGCTGCACAGATTATTTTCCAAGAATTTTGTTGTTCTTTTAGAAAAACTAAATGACATGTCTAATTCCATTCAAGAACTGTATCTATAATAACGATAGCTTTGATTTGATATTGATTTGATATGTTAGATACTAGCAGTCAAAAACTGTAGAAAAGCATGACTCCTTCTTCTCTCCAAAGCACAATAACAAAAGTTGGATATGATTATTGGCAGCTGAAAGATACGCAATTCTAGTAGGAAAATAATTTGTTGGTAAATATTTCCCCCTTTCATAACCACAGTTCTCACAGGAGGCTTGCTCAGGGTATGGTGAGAAGAGACTGCTGAAAGATTTAAATTGCCAGAGGCTGACACTTGAGATGCTTAGGTGTACTGCATCCCCCGATTCTCCATTCCCCTTCAGCTGTCTTCTATGAATACATTACAGTCTTAAAGCAGCAAGAGGCTAAGGTAGCTTTTGCCTTTTCTTTTTCCAGGTTTTCAAGCCCTTTTCTCACAACTAGTTGTTTGGCTACACTTTCAATAGGGAAATAGCGTCACATGTAAAGGCGTTGTATGGAAACAATTAGATCCAAGATTTGCTGATAGAAAACTCATTTATTTTTAGTGGGAAAAAAACAAGACCAAAAAAACTATCTGAAAGCAATTTCCAAGGAACTGTGGATACAAGGTACAATATGGCAATTTCACCTTGGAGAAGTAGATCATGCCTGGCATACACATACAGCATGTGTATATTGTACATTACGTTTTAATATATTCAAGTTTTATATAATAATTAGATTTTATATGGCCATTGTTTAGGGAACATCATCTTCCAACCAAGGTTTTAGCTGCATGATTCTACCTATAAACATTTTCTACTGAAACTTAAATATTGCTTTTTTCTACTAATTTTACACAGGACATCTTTCATTGCATTTTTCAGCAGTTATTATAGAAGTATTCATGGTTTAGTCATCTTTTTCTATCAGATTTCCATACATACTCTGCAGGTTAATACCCTATTGCTTTTGATTAGCTCTGCTACAGTTCAAACTCTGAATGAACTAAAAACAACAGCATTTGAGATGGAAGAACCAGAAATATTCTTTCTGAAATACAATTTTGTCATATATATACTATTTAAACTTCATAGTTTTTAAATATAACGTTAGTGTATTTGTTTCAAATTATTGTATAGATAAAAGAAAGTAGAAAAGTTGCTGTGTTACACACACATTTTAAACTGTTATTACTAATTAAACTACACTAAACTGAAGAGAAATCCAAGAAATAAATGAGTTTTTGATTGAGGATAGTGATTTATACTTTAAATTTCTCTCTGTCAATACGTAAAAAAGAATTGTCTTACTAAGAACAAGGCTCTCATGAATGTATTATGAAGCAGCAGGGGTGGAAAACATTTGGGATCTTGGATTTTATGTTGAGTTTTTTCCCTCCGTCTAAAAGAAATACGATTCAAGGATATAAAGGAGTCTGACTATTGCTCAGTAGTATAAATTCTTTATTAATATACTCCAAATCATTATTTCCTACAGTATATCCCAAACCAAAGATTCATTGTGATATATAGCCGACTCTAAAGCCCAGTCTATATTAAAATACGTTTAAATTATTGCTTTATTATTTCGAGCATAATAAAAACAAGAATTTTATTGTTTTAAATAATAATTATTAATGATCTTAAATAAAGAAAGAGATCACTATGCTCTTCTATAGATACATTAAGTATGAATTTCTCTCTTCAAGAATTCTTAATGATTTACCATGGTTGTCATGCAGGTTTTCCATACTAACTTCAGCATTAATCCAAGAATTGTTTTTACAGTCATCTTTCTGAAGTCCTTCAGAGTCAGATACTACTACTACTACTACTACTACTACTACTACCACTACTACTAATAATAATAATAATGTTACAGGTCTGTGAGTTCCAGTTTCCTAATTTATGCAGACATGGAAATCCCCACAAGTCAGTTCGTATAATCTATGAACACCTTACATGAAAACAAATGGAAAGACAAAAAACATAAAAGGCTTTTATAAATATAATAAATTAACCACTGATAGTTAATTAAAAATCTGTTAACCATTAATCCTAATCAGGACCAAATGACCCTCTCTAAATGGATGCTCACAAAGGAATGGGAACCAATTTCATAATTCTAACCAAGGATCACTTGTAGTGCATTGGTATGCCTCATGTAACTCAGGAGAGATTTGTGAATTCCACAGTATAGAGAGTTAGAACCCTTATTCTGATAATGATTATGCCTCTGTTCTTGGCCCTCACTTCTCTCTACCCTTTTTGTAGCACCCTGTCCTGGTGCCTTAGTTTCTTTAGTGGTCCATTCCAATGGTGGCTGGCATATTGACTTCTCTAAGAATGGCCAAATCACTGATGAATATTTATGCACGTAAATATCAGAGTATGTCTGTGAGGACAAAGAGCTGATTTTGTGCTACTGTAATCTTATAATAATAATAATTGCTTACACTTATATAGCGCTTTTCTGGACACTCCACTCAAAGCGCTTTACAGGTAATGGGGACTCCCCTACACCACCA